TTTGCCGGGGCTCTTAGATGTTGTGCAAGCCCCGGCTACACCCCCATATAGCCCCTGTTGGGGCACTTTAGGGGGGAGGCCTTGGTCTAGGGCGGGCAGGCCTCCAGCCTGGCCCGGAAGGACTCAACGGTGGGAGCCGTGGTTACCGGGCCAGGCAAGGCGTTCCATCGTGGAATTGTGCGGGAAAAGAGGGAGTATTTATAGGTGTCTGTACGTGCGTGTATGGGTTGGTATTTATACTGATGACTCCCTCGGGTACGCCCCTGAGCTGGCCTGAGCAGTTTATCTGTAGGGATTATAATGATTTTATGCACTATTTTGTAAAAAGTTGTGAGGCGGGCTTTCCTCCTCCTTTTGGAGAGGAGGGGCCACTGCAGGTCGTTGAGCATTTGTGTCACGCTACTAGTCCGCTGGTAGTCATTTAGGGTCACTCGGGCGGCCCTGCGCTGGACGGCCTCCACCGCCTGGATCCCCTTGTTGGTATACGGGTCCCAGACGGTGGCACTATATTCCAAGTGAGTCCGGACCAGCGCTTTGTAACAGGTGGCCTTGACCCAAGATGGACAATGGGTCAAATTTCGCCGAATGACCCCTAGGACTTTACCAGCTTTGCTAGTTGCGTGGTTGATATGGGTGTCCCACCGCAGATCGTCGGACAATTGAAGCCCGAGATAGGGGTGGGACTTGACTGGTGTTAAGGTTTCATTGCAGAGAGAGTACTGGGTAATGATGGGCTTTCTCTTACGGGAAATGTGGAGAATATGGCATTTGGAGGGATTGAACGACATCTGCCAACGATTTTGCCATTCCGTCAGCACATCAAGGTCAGACTGCAGGCCTTGGGCTCTATGCAAAAGCAACAAAATGTGGGCTACGAAAAGTGTCAAAAGTTTGGGTCAGCAGAAGCTGCAACTTTAGAATGCAATGGGTAATATTAGCTAGTGATCGCGCCAAACAGTTATGTAACAATTTGGATAAACTGTGTCAGTGGAAAATAGTTGGGAATTTTATATGTCTGAAAATATACGTCTGTCCGCTACTCAAAACAAATACAAGTAGTTCCAAAACCAATGGAGCAGTAAGTTTTGGGGTTACAAGAAACCAACAACAGTCTGTCGGACTCTGTCCACAACATAATTTATAAACACGGAAAAACTACTCTAACTTAGTCAAAGTACTTAGAAACGCCCCCGGCCCCCCTCAACTTACAAAAACAGCCGTTTGAAAATCGTGCCTTGGTACGGTTGGAACCGTGTTGGAAATGTTTTCCTTCCACAGCGTCCGATATAATATAAAATTACGTTCTGGGCACGGCGAGACTGCAGCGAATAACACTAGCGTATTCGCGTTTGTAGTTGACTGCCCTGGGAAAGAGACCGCATTTTCTCCACGCAAAGCATACTGGGAAGAGCCAGCCATAGTATCCTGGGGACGAGTCTTTTGAATGATGAAAAATTGAGTTTTGAAGGGTGAAAATTGGATTTTGAAGGGTGAAAATTTGAGTTTTGAAGGGTGAAAAATTAAATTTTGAACGATGACATTTGGGTTTTGAAGGGTGAAAATTGGGTTTTGAAGGGTGAAAATGGGTTTTGAACGGTGAAAACTGCCCCGATGAAGCCTTGTTGAAGTTGTACCTTTGGTCTTTCGTACTACATGTTTTGCAATGCAACACATGTTACTGTTCCTACATGACTACATTTGTCCGCATTCATCGCCAGTGGCTAGAATGAAACATAACGTCTGACCGTTTCCAAAATCATATCCAGTTGCTTGAGCAACGTTTTTTTTTAGTATATGGACCTATTAATTTTATAAACATTAATACTTTACTGTTCTCTTGGCCATCCTCCTACTTGCCTAATCTCCAAGCAGATGTCGGGAGGATTGGTCTTTACGTTTTCCTGTCCGTTTCTGTGACAAACCGTCTCCATTCCCGGTTTGTCACAACAGCTTGGAATTGTAAGTACGCCCAGCTTTTGAAATTATAGCTTCCCCCACCATCTGCTTGGAAAACCTGCACTGCCGTCCCAGACAATAAGGAGCGGGTAAAGCGCGACTCACTGATGTGCGAAAATGGATCACGTTTCCATGGTTTCCTTGCGCGATACTGTCCGCGTGTTGGATACTATCTTTTTTGGCCACCAAAAGATCTGCTTGGAGATTAGGGACAACATCAAGTTACCATGCATAAATTTTCTTCTGTTTGTTACATCATCTTGTACTTGTAACGTTTATAGGTATCTTCCATTCTAGAACTGTTCGGGCTGACCTCAAATGACACCGGTATTGAGGAACGTCTCCGACATTGAACTTCTACAGAGGAAGCCAACAAATACAGAATGAAGTTTAAGTGTTCTTTTCAACATGGAACGTTAACTGTTACCACTATAAGATCCTATAACGTTACAAACCACATATTCCAAAAAAATCATTCTCTATTTTTTTCAGATTCAACCCATAGTAATTCAATTGATGATGAGCATAAAATGCCCCACACCTCAAAACACAGTGAAAAGCAACAGGATCATTCCGATGCCTTCCAGTCCTATGCAAATGAGGGTTAGCCTGGGTACCATCTGGATTTTCGCTACGCACCGCTTTTTCCCCGCGTTTTCGCGTTGCATTCTGGGGATGGGAAACTCGTGAATTCAAACCGAAGTATGGGATCAAACATGGAGTCAAATAGACCGAAGCACTGCAACTAAAAGCGGAAGGACACCCTGAATCAAGTTGCCTGAAGTAACGTTAAGCCTCGGGCCCGAAATCAATTTTCACCCAAAATACCACGCCACTTCTTACACTTTTCAGCTTAGTAGTTGATGCCATTTTGCAGCAAATAATTCATGAGAAATGTGCACTCAAACCTTCGTCACTTTTTTTTGCTTCCAGCGGAAGAATACTAGTCGTATTGGTGTAGTAAGGTCAGTGTGCACCGTTCGCGTTTTTGGGGCATGGAGGCCATGGGGGGACAGACCGCAAAGCAAAAGGGGAAAGTGTTCATTGCTAATGGTACTAGTATATAATGTATAATATTAGTCGTAATTAGATGAACAGAAAAAAATAGATGATAAAAGCAAAGCATATATCAAAACAAGATAGAAGAAAGGAGGCAGCAATAGCAAACCCCACCTAGTGAGTAAGTGTGCGTGAGTCACCCCTTGTGAAACCACCTCACCCTCACCCTCTTTTTCCCGCCAAAAAATAGTTAGAGGCGTGTTTCTTCGTCTGCAGAATCAGGAGAAGAGGTATTGCGAAGATTTTCTTCAGTAAACCAGTACAGAACGGAAGATGGAAGACAAAAGAGAACCAAGAAGGTGAGGCAATCGTCGTTTTAAAGTAGGAAGGTTAGAAATGTCCGGAATCGTCCAGATTATGTTGTTGGCAGGTACGAGGAAGGTTGAGAAAATTATACCAGTCACAGTCACAGTATCACTATCAGAAAGTGCTTTAAAAAGCGGGTATTTCGGCACGCTATCGCTGTCATCGGTTGTACATCTTACATATGCCACCGTGCATCTGCTCGGAGATAACTTTATAGATATGCCACTCTATATCTGCTGAAAGATGACTCTATAGTCAGACAATGAATGCCACCAACATCTGCTTGGAGACTGGTAGAAGTACATATAACGTTACGCATCCATTAGACGCAATATCTGATATTAGAAGCAATAACACTAATGTATTATTTTAAAATGTATTATTTTAAAACTGTATTATTTTAAAAGTATGTTGTAAATATCCTTTTAATGTGTCTTGCACAATATGTATGTACAGAAGGCGCAATTCAGCCTGTTTGGCTGCAATGTCTTTTATTAATAAACCATTTTTGATTGATTGATTGATTGATCAGGGCCTGAGCATGGACTGAAATGGGACCATAACGTTTTATATTATATACCACCCTACATGTGCTTGGAGTTTTGTCTTTAATGAAAACAAAGTGTGGTAGAGATTTTGTTGCAGATGGCAGAAAGTTATTATATTGTTTTTGCATAATCTTGTGAAAAGTGAAAGTGAAATTTAAAATGTAACAACATTTTAAAACATCATAAAGGCTAAGTATACCATTATTTATGCCACTTCATGAGACAATGTAAAACTAGAATCTCCCGGTCTATGAATCGAGTTAAAGACATGCTTTAGGAAATATTATAGGATGTCCTTATCATGCAAATTAATGCATAAATTGCACTGTTAGAATTTAATTGTGTAAAATAGCTACATAATTGGTGTAAAGCTTTTAAATGTTAAAACAAAACAGTCTTGAAAAGAAAATTAGAAATATTACGGACAGCACGATTCGAACCGGCGAACAAAAAAAAAACAAAGCAAAAAAAAAGAGTAACAATTTGATATTGACACTCCTGAGTAAGTTTTTGAATGCTAAAACTTAAAATAAAAGGAAAACAACGGATGTTAAGAAGAAAATTATAAAAAAAAGTTCCAGCACCGGGATGCGATCCCACAATGTTTGGATTCAGACCCGCCACACTACTTCACTTGCTCCTGATTGAGCTATGAGGATTTACGCAGTCCGGGCATAGCTATACGATAATATGTATGTTGATTCCCACCTCCCCCTCCGCACGAAATGGTCAGGGCAGGGGAAACTATTAGAGCCCCGAAGACAGCCTGTCCCAACCACGATAGACTGGATACCACTATCACCAGGCTACATTAACGTGATATGCATAGTGATGTTAACATTTAAGTAACTTTAATACACGTGTCACAAGTATAAAATTGCTATCATTTACCAATAACAAATCAGCTTTATGCATTGATATGTTTATTAATTATAACCCTTATATAGAGAGGAGAGAGTTTAGGCCACAGCAAATAATTTTTATGGATGACATCAGCACACGTGTGCATCAGCACAAAAATTTTTGGCTGATTTTGGAAAAAGAAAACAAGAAATTTTGTTGCCCTCTGAAAGTGGTCAACATGCCAAAAATGAAATGGGCAAAGATGTCTGTTGCCATGCCAGAACGTGGATGGCAAATAAATATGAAAAGAGGAGACAAGACAAGGCTCTGATTTATTGATTTGTGTGTTACTTTCATGCAGTGATGCATTTAATTCCTTTTAAATATAATGTTCATTGAATCAAAACCATTTGTACAATGACTCAAAACTTTTAGGTTTCAGTGACAAATGTATGTATGTTTAGTTGGCAGTAAATGTTGCACAATATTAGGTATCATTTCATGTTTAACAAGGTTTATGATGTCAAAATTTGAAAATGTAGGAACCTTGTTTTTTGGCCCGCCTTGTTTTTTCCCCTATCGCATTAGTTGTGGAGTCTGCAGAGGATATCATCCATGAAATTTACTTGCTGTGGCCTTATTTAAAGCTGAGTCCTTGATGAATGGATAACACTGATGTATCATTTTTTCAGTTGTGTAGAAAAGAGAGCCCTTGGTGACTCTGGTGTGGCAAACAAGAAACAAAGAACTGAAGATTATAGCAGTGTGGCTCAACTACAGCACATTAACAGTTCAGATGGAGAAGAATCAGAGGCTGACACTCAACTTGTCTTGTACAAAAATGATAGACAAAACAGGAGCAAGAGAGAGTTACATTATTTGATGGTAAAAAACATTTGCAAGAAGTGCACAGCAATCAGTTTATATTCAAGACAGCCTGAAAGAGTTATACATATTATCTTTGAAAATGAAGCAGCAACAAAGCTTTTTGTACAGCCTTTAATTGCTAGTGACTTTATTGAAGTAGATCAATCAGGGAACATATTCTATTTCGCTGCAGCAAGAAACTGTATTGTTACAGCTAGTTGGCTGCATGATCTTGATCATGAGAATGATGTGCATGGGTATTTGAGTGGACTTGAACGACTGAGCAACAACCGGGAGTCCTCTGCTGTAGTACTTCTGTCAGGAAAAGCAGCCAACAAACGAACCGAGTCAGGACAGGCTGTACCCATTGGTAGCCTCCTTTTCTCAAGTGATGGATCTAGAACCTCGTTGGGGGGTTGTCCAACATTTAAGACATACTATCATGACCACCTTAACAAGTTGTTACAAGACCTGACCAAGCCAAATGTGTTGTTCAAAGATCATCTCAGTGCAGTCTGTGTGGATACAAGTCAGGGTGTCCCTCTGAACAAACAGTGCAGTGTAGTCGTAGACAAACACCCTATTTTCTTGAGAAAACTTCTGGAACATTTCAATCCTCACGCCCTTCGTGTGATGGTTGCTATCAATGAACAAATGGAGCAGTGTGGAGTTATGGACCAGAAAGCCATGTGCAATGCCATCACCCTGTTGCACACATTCCTGGCAGCTGGGATAGACACAGGTAAGGACAATGTAGCAGATCAGTATCTGTATGTCGTTAGTTCAATTAGTTTGAATAGTTCAATTAAATGATACATGCATAATTCATTGCTGACTAGCTCGTATGATTTCATGTCAGGGCTTAACAAGTTATGAAAATTCAGTCCCAATTGGGTCAGTATGTGGTCACTTGAATTAACTTTTAATTGTTCTTAAAACATGATGTAGACAGTGAACAATAGCAAATTGACAGTACAGTTCTCTAGTGGTTTATTCATGGAATATATTTATTTAATTTAATTTATTTGCAAAATCATGCCCGAAGGCTAATTGCTTGTACAGTCAAGTATACAGAAACAGGACACAGGTAACAATCTGTCTGGAAAAACCTCTACTTCTACTACTACTCTAGCTATTAAGGGGTTCGACTTCTTTGAAGGCAGTGGATAATGAATAGTCCCACATTCTGCATAATTAGTGGGTTTTGTGATCTTAGTAGAAATGCAGTTTTTTGGTGATCTTCTAAAAATATATGTGGATAAAGCGAATTGGAGGGAGACATGGGAGAGAGTCTGGGACCAGTCGACCGGGAACCCCAACTTGATGATGATATATTTGGGACATACCATAATTATGATTTAATTTGTCTTTGAAATTTTAGTGTTTCCAGAGGTAGGGCCAATCACAACAACCCGTGACCTGGTCAGAAGAGAGCGGACTGAAACTGCATACAGTCAGCCTATCAACAATGCATATACTGACCATACCAATCCTGCAATAAAGGTAATTTGCTGTTTCTTTCATATTCTCATTTTCTGCTACTTCATTCTGTCATGAAAAATTTATTTGAATAAACTTAGGCCATGTTGATTTGATTATATGGATGACATCCTCCGGGAGCCCCAAAACTGATGCGCGCGTGCGAATAAAAAAAAAGTTTTGCAAAAAAAAAAAAGTTCTTTTCATTATGAAATCTACGTGGTCATGAGGGTTGAGCATATGGTTTGGCGAATAATCTAGTCTTCAAGTTCATTTCTTTACAATTTCGTCTTTTTTCGTTTGATTTTGGCATTCTACGACATTGGTATAGTTTTCATTAATTTTTTGTAACTTATGGTATATTTTTGCTCATTTTGCAACTGTTTTGTACGATTTACAGTATGGTTGAAAACTTTTTTTTTTGGAAACGGCCGAAAATTCATGCGCGCGCGGATGTCATCCATATAATCAAATCAACATGGCCTTAATAGTAAATACTAGAACCTGTTGACATGTTCTTTGTAGTGTTTAATTTCTTTCAGTAAATGGTTCAAAATAATGTATTTCAGTTTCCCAGTGGCGCAACTTACCAACTGCCTGAAACTCCTGACTCTAACCGGCAAGTCTGTACTACCAAGGACATTTCTCCATCTGTTGAGCCTGCACTTGACAGTCCAAGAACACTGACTGACCTCCTACTGTTAGAGGTGGCAAATAATTTGCAAGCAAGTGATGCTATTGACTTAGCTGTGGCTCTTGGACAGCGACGGAGAAAGGCAAAAAATCTTGTAAATACATGTGGTCAGCAATCTGACGTTGCAGCAGTGCAGGAAGTGCTGCATGCCTGGAGGGGTGCAGAAGTGAAAAAGGCCACCCCAAGGAAGCTAATAGATGCATTAAAATTGATGGGAAAAAATGATGTTGCAGGTTTTGTCATCGAAAGAGTTACTGATACTGTGAACTTGGTATAGATTATGCCAAAGGTATACATGTACATGATGCCAAGGAATTTAGTATACTGTGTAAGGCCACAGCAAGTAGTTTTTTTACAGGTGACATAAGTCATGCATTCATTTTTGGCTGTATTTTTTTTTTTTTTAGGAAATTTTGTCGTCATATACTGTTAAGTGACGAAGGTCAACATGCTGAAAATGTGAATTTGTTTATTGTGATATCATTATATCAAAGATTGAAAATGCAGGAATCTGTTTTTTTTTCCATATCGCAGTAATTTTGAAGTCTGCAGAAGATGTCATTCATAAAAGTTACTTGCTGTGGCTGTGGCTTAATGTGGTATACATATGCTTTGAACAGGACCTGGTGACTGCTAGTAGAAGTTTTAGTAAAATGGATGTAACTTTTTTTAGAGTGTTTTAAGAATAAAATAGTGATTTTACAGTTTGACATCGAAGTTGTTGAAATGAAATCATTTTATTGATATAAATGTCATGACAGCAAAAAACCAGATGGATGCTCAGGATTTCATGACATAAAACATTTGGATTGCCATGAATGAAAGATCAGCAATGTATTTTAATAAATAACCATTGTAGTCATGAGAAAGGGGGCTCTATTGGATTAAAATTATCAATTCTCAAACTTGTCTCATCTCAAATCTCATCAATGCATAGCACAAATAAGAAGTAAACGACTTATGACCTCCTTTGACATAATTTACAAAACACACCAGCAACTGACACTTGCAGACCTTTAATAATCATTTAGAACATAAAACAATCAATTTACAGCTTTTCACGTATATAGAGTAGAAACTTAGAACAGGACAGTTTTGTATGTGTACTTGTGTAAGCAAAGAACATCTTTTTGTAAAATTATGTAACCTTCTAGCCGTGGCCATACAGAATGACTACAGTGCTTGTATAGTTTTTAAACACATTTACATTTTTTTCTGTAACAATAATACAACTTTTACAAGATGCACTCAAAAGCCAAAAATTTTCTGCAAGCTAAAGCTAAGGCCCTACCCCATCCAAGAACTTTTCCCATCTGAATCCCTACTAACACTTAACACCTTTCCCCATCTACGCTGCAGAAAATCTGAACTTCTGAAGTAATCCCTAAATAAAAAATCAACTGAGGAATTATTACATCGCAACAGCAATACTTGATTTAAGTTTGTTAGACTGAATGCTACAAATTGTACTGTTCTACTGAGGCCAAGACAAAGACTATGATCCAGTAAGATACAATGTGTATCAAATGAGTGTTTCCTTCACCAACCACAGTGGTTATGGAATGGCTCACAAGGAAAATTACTACCACTTCAGCTAAAAAAATTGGCAGCACAATGTAACCCCTGAACAGCTAGAGGTAACAGTGAAGTGGGCTGTGTGTTTAAGGCATTATGAACAGCCCATAGGTCGTTATTGTTTCAAAGATGCATCAAAGGTTTTAGAAAGCTTTGTGATGTACCACTATTCCGAAAAGCAAGCACTTTAAGTAGGATATATTTACACATGTAGATCACTGGCCCACCTCTTGCACCAAAGGACCTGTTTTGAACCAGTGAAGTACTCATGCTAACCTCAAACATCAGACTTAAGTTTGATTCCTTTCTAGGTTGAAAATCATGAAAAAAAGTGTAATCTATATGGTTTGGAAGTATGTTCATGACTACTTTTGTTAATAGCACTGTTAGAGATCTATCTATATACAATTCAAAATGTTTTTTTTTTGTTGAGTGCACTTTTAACAGCAAAGGCTCTGAGAAGCTCTAAATCTAAAACAATGCTAGAATTTTGCAGCTTCCTCCTGCCATGATTTCGGAGATAAACAGTCACAAGCAGTATGGAACATGGAAAGATTGCAAGTTCCATGGAACATTTCAAATGCCAAAAGCATGTCAAAAATCGTATTGACATAAGCATCAAGTATTCCTTCTTGAGTTTGGAGAATACACTTATCATGAGCTTTGACCTACCCAAGAAATGCCCCTTGGTTGGAAAATTACATTTGTGAGGACAACTTTTTGTCCACCACTGCTCCTGGCTGTGACTCAGTCCAAAAAAAAAAGATTGTGCATCAGACTGTAGTTCATTGGCCTAACAAATTCCCCACTTGCACACCTACTGTAGTTTGCTTGCTGAGAAATTTTGAACTCTGTAACACAAAGTGGCCATTGAGCCATTTCTCAAATCTTTCAAACCACCCTACCACAGTAACGTCCTCATTGTTTGAATTTCTTTCACAGAACTTTGTAGCTTGAAAGTGCTTCATTGACTTGGTTTCTTCTGATGTGCCTAGATCCTTACCACTTGCTTCAGGTGTGCTGTTCTGCCATTTGAATCTCACTTCTCTGATCTACCACTTCTTCAATCACAGTTTGAAGAGTTTTACAGCAAAAGCTCTGCTACTGTAAATATTGAAACTTTCGCGGTTGTTTTATTTTCACGATGACCTCTTCACCGGAAACTCATGACACCATGAATATGTGCTTCCAATGAACTGGTATTTACTAGTGACTACTTACAGATTGGTAAAGCTGTGAATTGAAAACACAGCAAAAAGTTCCTTTCACCTCTTACCGCAAAATAAAACCATCGCGAAAGTAAACAAATTTACTGTACACAATGTACCACTGCTCTTTCTAACCTTACTAAGTTTAAAGTTTGTTAACATAATAGAACTATAGCTTTTGTGTTGTTCTAACAAAGTGCATCCCAAGATGTAATCTATTGCTTTCCACTCGTCTCTATGTTGTCCAAAGATGGTTTCACAGGGCTAATGACGGTTGAACTAGTTAGCACAAGCAGGCATCTCTCAGTAGGCCTACAGGACAATCACACCAGCAGACTGGACACAAGATGTGCTTCCTGGGATCATGTGCTGTAGCAAAACAAAAGATAGCCGTTTAGAATACAAGCAATTCGTCCAATGTACTGTGTGTTATGCAGGCATAATGTGAAAGTCATTTTTAGATGCTGCCGCAAACAGCTAGCAGGACAGCAATACACACAGTGCACACTGCAACCACCACCAGAAAAGCAATGCATATCAGACTGATAAATGTACTTTCAAAGGAATGTCCATCAATTCATTAAATTGCAAGCAATGCTCTCAACTTCAAGTTAACACCCATAGATTCCAATTTAGCACTGCAACCACTTTTCCTTGACTCCCTTAGATTGAAGCAACAGGACTATATAAAGAGCACCCTTCTTTCTTGTCACAGCAAACCAAAATACATAAGTTTCAGTGGGAAAAGAAGGCTTGTCCCACACAGGTTGTTATTTGTTGGATACTTTTTCGGTTTCACTCTCTTGCAAGACATGCCACAGTGACCACATACCCATCCTCGGTAGCATCCTCTGCAGGAACGTCTACTTGGTCCAAGTACACTTGTTCAGTGCTGTAGTCAACAAGGCCAATTGTTAACTTCATTGGTCGAGTCAAATTTCCACAGTAAATGACGACGATGCACAAAAGTGAAAAATGGATCAAGCATTCCTGCAGGGGGGCCAAGCTACCGAAGTCTGAAGGAGGGAAACAGTTGATACATTTTACATTCCCCTTCCCCCTGGACCATTTCTTTCAAGTTCTTCTATTGCCCAGACACAACATGTTGATCCAATGTACCTGTCCAGTCCAGGTTTTCAAAAGCAAAAAAAAAAGCCACAGAAGTAGCTGAATTTTTTACACTCACAAAGATTTTGACATGTTTCTCATGTTGTTAATAACAGTCATGCAATCTGCTTCCCTGCTTCAATAAACTGAGCTACTGAGGTTGGCGACAGCCAGAAAAGGTGCAACAGTGCAGAGTAGGAAGTCAGACTCGGAGTGAAGCAGAGTTGGAAAGGTATGGTGCAATTTTTCATTTTCTAAGTTTGCTTCATACTTATGTATGAACATATGCGTCCTACCTTAAAACTGAGACTTTGAAATGTGAGAAATTATAAATCACTTGAACTGAACAGACGAGTGCATAAATATCAATTTAAGATGTTTGCACATACAATAAACCTACTGTCCTCTTTTCTTTCATCCCATAGAAACTTTCAATGGGGAAAAATTGCACCAAACAAAATTCTTGAGGCACAATGCTTTGTCCCCCAATTCTGCATGGTTGGATCTGAGAGAAGCTGTTGGGTACGAGGCAGGTGGTTGAAGAGATCAGTCAGATAGGGGACTGCGGTGGAAAGCCAAGCACTTTCAAGAGACCACGTCTGATCAATACTGATAAGCCAATAGAGATTGCCGTAAGCCAATAATTACTTGGAGACATAGGTGTAGGTCCGTGCAGGGGAGCGGGCGGGCGGGTCCGGCGGGGGAACGTTCAGGAAGTCCCAGATCAGTATGGTGTCATCGTGGGAACTACTGACAATCTGGAACTCATCAAACTGTAGTCTGAACACCCTTCCAGAGTGCTCCTGACAAGGAAAAAAACAACCAAAACATTAGACACACACTGGGGTTCAGTTGGACATGAGCTGCAATTTGTAACAATGATGGCATCTATTGAAATATGATCAAACTGACTGGTTGACCAATAAATGGAGTATCCGACTGTCTATTGGTCATGCAGACATCATGACATACTGCAGACATAATGAAAGTAAGCTAAAAAGTTGATAAAGTTTCCATACAAGGGAGACAGCTTACAAAATGTAGTGATGCCATCATTGTCTTAGTAAGTCAGAGGTATGGTTTGTAGTGTTCTTTCAAGCATGATTGAAACAAGAGGTATCTCACCACAAGAGTCCTAAGGCAAAGGGTGCCAGCTGGTGCTCGGGGGTCCAATGCTGCCTGCAAGTCCCACACCTTGAGTTTTACTGTAAGGGAATTGTATGATAAAAACATGAAGACATGACATGAAATCATCTGAAGTCCAAAGATAATTCTGTTAAGTCAATATATTACCGTTATCATTTATCCTTGACCTCTTTCACAAACTCATATTTTCACTGATGTTTCTGGTTACAAACTAAAGGAAATAGCAACAGCATATGTATGCCAAGTATTTTTGCAGGAAACTGTTGGGAGCACTTACCCATCATATGCTCCGCTGACAATCCGCTTGTTGTCGAACCTGATACATCTCACCAACTCCTCGTGCCCTTCCAAAATACGCAAGCATGCTCCACACTCGATATCCCATAACCTGTGCAGGAGGGAAAATATATCAGGGGGAAATGTAACAATAATCATTGTATGACCATAATTTTTTTCAATGATAGGCTTCATGTTGATGTGTGGCCAGCTTCCTGAAAGTTACCTCATAACCTTCCACTGAAATTATTTCTGAAAACAACATATTTGCCAAATCTAAGAGTTGTCAATTTGAAATGTAGTCTTCTCACTTCAACAGATTGACTTCTCTTAAATTCATGCATGAGTCAAATCATTTATAATTTTCCTCAAAGTTCATGTAATTCAGTCCTACCCCATTTTGCCTTGTTGCCAATCAAGGCACACTGACCTTATGGTGTTGTCTGAAGAGCCACTGACGACGAGTCTGTCTCTGTACTGGAGACAGGCGATGCCCCTCTTGTGGCCATTCAGTGTTCTCACAAACTCACACGTCGATGTACTCCACACCTACAAGCAAACCAGCACATTACAGTCTGCAGTGTGTTCATATGTAAGGAAACAAGAAGCAACATGATAGATGCTTGTTCAGATGGTCACTATAAACAGGATTCTTAATGCTTGTGTCAATGGGAAAAATTATCCAAGGGACCATCAAAAGGTGGTCACACTGGCCAGGTGGTCCTCATGCAGAGATGGTTACTTGTACAGGATTGACTGTATTGGGCACAATTTCATTTTCAATACTGTTGACTGTGAAAGTTCTCAGGCCCACCTTGATTGTCCTATCTCCAGAAGCTGACACGATGTACTTGTCATCAAAGTCCACCACATTGACGGCTGCCCGGTGGCCCACCAGCACTCTTCTCAGGTTGATGTCTGTTGGGGATTGCATGTCCCACACAGCTATGGAGCGGTCCTGGATGGGACACGGACACCATTAGTGCAGGAACAGGGCACTTTTCTTTACCATAGCAATGATCTGCTTCTCTCAATGAAGGATAGATATCCAGGTAGAGCCTTTTTGTTATACAGAATGAATCAAGGACCTGGATAAATTCTCTGAAGAGTCGGATATCTCAGATAGCTCCACTATCATTATCAGTCACCCATAAAAGATAGTCAATTCCATCTTTAAGTGTTTATGTGACATAGTCATGTTTTGGTTACCTTGGAGCAGGTGACCATCATGCCGTGCTGAAACCTGAGATGCAGCACAGCCTCACAGTGGTGGATCAGAGTGTTCACCATCTCCCCCGTGTGGACGTTCCACACCCTGCAGGAACAACACGTGTTACTTAGCAAGCAAGAATGATACAACTAGGGCTGTGTGCCTAATACCCTTGCCTGTAATTCATACCGCTGAAGTACAGGTTTGGATCTGAGCATCAGGTGTACCTGTACCTGTACCTGAAGACAATAACTTTGACAATTTAGCACTTGAAAATTACAATGTACTGCCACAAAGATAGTCAGCCAAATGTATAACTTACAAATGGGACAAACTTCCAATGGTCCAAGTCCAAGCCTGTACATAAACTCCTGTATCTGATCCTAAAATTAGTTTAAGTGCATAGCTCAGCTCTAGATACAATGGTTTAAAGGACAGGGCTTATCAGCCAATCATAACACAATCACATAACAGGGTCTAAGAACCAATTCCAGTCCAGCTATATCTTCTCCAGGGTTTGATGAGTTCTCCCACCTGACTGTTGAGTCGCTGGAGCCGGAGATGATGACCTGGTCGTCATACTGCAGGCACAGCACCGACCCTGTGTGTCCAGTCAGCACCTGCACACACTCCAGGTTGTTTCTATCCCAGATCTACAACAGGAGATATACAACTTGTTATAGTACAAGGATCTAGGGCAGCCTATTTGGTATCAGGACAGCCAAATATTGTATGACATTTTACTGTCCTGAGAATGATCTCAGTTCACACTCATACGATAAGCATACCAGGTTCTGACCAGGCTCTACACAGTTCAGTACAAGGTGGATATCAATTATAGTTCATGCTTTTCTACATGCTATCAACAGCAACTGTCAACTTGCTTGGTAGAGCTGAATATTATCATTTTATTAATGCCATCCAATGTTACACTAAGAATGCCTCCAGGTTCTTGGGCAGTTTTCCCACATGTAGGAATGTGTTGTTTTGTACTGACCTTAATAGTGTTATCTCTAAGCCCACTGACAATCTTGTTGTCATCATACTGGAGACAGTACACCCCCTTGCTGTTCTCACTTCGGCACTGTATCTTCTGTAGGTTATGTCTGCCACACCGCCAGTTTGTCTCTATTTGCTGCAGAGGGCAGAGTGCCAAAGCAACACATGTTAGATTGATGTCCAACAAACAAGCATATTGTCTGATTATTTCAGGAACACATCTTCTTTGCAGAGGTTGACAGATGGAACAAGATGTGAAGCATCTCACTTATCTTAATAATTGATCTAAAATATGAAGACTAAGCAACTTGAGAATAAGAATATACTCAATATCTTTCATGCAAGGTTCCTTTACTCCATCCGAAAGTCTAAGAATGCACAAAGTTCTTAAAAAGCACTTTTTACAAAGTAAGACGATGAGAAACGTAATCAATACCTCAATATCTTGTATAATCCTAGGGTACAGTTTGCGGTAGAACTGATGGTTGGGTTGCGTTTCCCCTGGCTTCGGTCTGAACAGATGTTGTCCCCTGTAGAAGATAGGAAAATGGCATTCATTCATGGGAATCAAAATGTCCCAACAATGATAAAAAGATAACAGGACAAAAAGTTGTAAATTCAAAGAACGTAAGAACTTAATTTTTCACCAATAGTGCCCATTGTATGCCTGGAACATGATGAATCAAAGACAAAGTTAATCTATCCTAATGTCTTTTAAATTACACAGGATTTAAAAACTGGAAAGAAGAAACAAAACAGAATGTAATGTATGGCTGCTTACCATCCCCTGCGTTCTGCCAGCCCTTTCCACAATGGGTCAGTCAGCACCATTCTTTCTATTAGCTTCTTCCACAGCATCCCATCAGAGATGACCCGGTACCACTCCTTGCACACCAGCTCACAAGCTGACAAGGACTTGGCGTCCAGGTAACTCAATATTTGTTCTGCTACGTGGTCTAGGCCTTTCTCTGCAGAAAAATACAGTCACATGATCAGGACTTGTCAGCCAATCAGGCAACTTGGAACACTATCATATGATCATCAGGACATGTCGGTCAAACGGGCAACTTGTAACAATGTCATATGATCAAGGCTTATCAATCACTTCAATCAATCAATCAGACTTCAGAGCCTGCTACAGGTTACTTGGGCATTTTGGAGGGCATCTGAAATCATCAACATATTTCTAGGGCATCCAAATGATAAACTAGCGACTCAGTTATTAGCACCAAAGGCCAAATGCAGCCATTACAGTACAGGGTATATCAACAAATACAAGGCTATTAATATGCTCAATTGTGACATAAAATGCTGGTTCCTCCTCTAAAATGAGTGACAGTAGTTAATGTAATGTAGACTTACTGGGTAATGCAGTAATGAAGTCTCTCTGCAGCATGGGCTTGAGGAAGGCATTGATATGTCCATGCTGGTAGTGGCACATTCGAGATATCAGTTGTTCCACAAAGTCCAGCTGGTCCTGTTCTGACCATTGTTCAAAATACTTAACACACAAGTCTCGCTCCTCCTCAAAGTTCTCTGGCCGCTCTCGCTTCTTCTGGATTGGCTGGGATAGGATGGTCATCTGTCGTAACTGTGGTTGAAAAATTCTACTATTAACAAAAACAAATAATGTATAACACTACAGCAGAAAGACTCATGAATTGATGTATAACACAGCAAAAAGTGACTTTTCTTGTCAGCTAAGAGATACTGTACCAAGACATTGATACAGTATACATAAACAGGGAGAATACATTGAACTTCGTTAAAAAAATGCCTGTTACGTTGAAAAATTTGCAGTTTTATTCAGGCTGAAAGTAGTTGTACCACGGTAGATTGAACTGTCAGTGAAATGTGATCAGTGTTTTATATATCTTTGTACTAGTGGGTAACACAGAAACATAATCCTTGCAGACAACATTTCCACAGCTGCAAGCCAGGCAGTCACTCATGATCACTTCCATGCTGTGTGCCCAACATGTGAACCATGGCCCCAAGGCCTGGCTGCAAAGATTTAATCATCAAGGAGTCATGTGATCAACAGTGATCCAATCAGCTTAGTTTTACCTTGTTTACCAAGGTCTGCCATTTCATCACTCAGTACATTAATGTTCTTGAAACTAGCCTGGTAAACACAGCCCCTCCTTTGATGTAGTTGAGTATCAGCCATGATAGCTTTATTTCTAGATCCTGAATCCTACCATATGTATGATGGATGGTTTTGTTTCTCTGGCCACAAAACATAGCTTCCTCTTGTTTTGGACAGACTTGAGTCTTTCGACAGGCTTTCTCCTTAAATTACACGTTTTCTAGCCATGCTTCCACAACTCACAAGTTTTCCAAGGAACTGCTTAAAACTGGATTGATTCAAGATTTTGATTGAAGTACCACCTTGACTGAGAGCTGAAAGTCACTGCTTAAAGGAGTCACTGTCAAGTCATCTTGTATCTAGTAAGAATGTTTTTACTCAGAATTGAGTTATACAAGAGGTCCACTCCCAATCCCCTCCATTTTAAGCCATCTTGCTATGCTAATCAATTGTGCTCCTTGAAATCAATAATGCACATGCCTGGCACGTTCCCAACGATTTTTGCGAATCCACAAAATCAGAAAATTTCTTGGCCAGCTTTTAGAGGCTTTCAGAAGATCAAACCAATAGTTCTATAGAAATGTCCCTTTCCCTAGGCCTAAATCATGTCATAGCCTACAATATCTCTTTTCATGTGAGTAGAGCATCTGGCCCCTTAAAAGTTAAATGGTCCACTGGGCCAACAGAAGTCTCCTTGTGGGCAAGTATTGATTCAAAAATCACAAAGGCTGCAAGTGAACCCAAATTAATGAGAGCCTTGGCACTGTTTCAAGTACTAGAAAACTTGAGTTTTCCCTGGGAAAGGCTCCGGTTTCAAAAACATCCAAAGGAAAATCTATCCCAGCCAACAAACAGCCAAGTATCCCTTTTTACAGGTAAACAATAGGATTGAAACGTGTCTGCACCAGACCAATGGCGCATGTAGATTTCAAAGTGTTGAGGCTCAGTCTCCTTGGCAACACATCCACCGGTACCCTTTTGTGATGTTACATATTGTTCGTGCTTTGTTTCTAACCACCACTGTACACATACATGTAGTCAACACCTTTAATCTTCAGTCAGTATATATATTTGTGTATAGAGGCAGCTCTCATTGCAGGATGTGTATTGGAAAAGGCACATATGACTCACACTTCTCAGATCAGACAGAGCACATTGTTGACACACTGTCTGGCTCAATGGCTTCTTGCCAAGAACTCAAGCTCAAAGAGGACAAGAACTTCTCTCAAGGTGTAATGTAGCCCAAACTTTTTCTCGGTCAGGAAAAATTTCCTTATTTCTTAAATCCACTCGCCATTGAACTTGCAAACTTGCAAATGTTTGATCTCAAAGTCAACACATGGTGAATTTATTTTTTAAATCTTGGTCATTACATGTATATTAATGCTAGGTAAACTTCAAAGTTTCCTGACATTTTTCTGATATCTCATCAGACCATTCTTGAGATTATTTGTGGCTTATCCCTATCATGCCCAACATATTGCATCCAGATGGAAGCGGCAAATTCTGATTAATCTGGATGTACTGATTGTGTATGATCTTTTTGCCTGGAAGAAACTTATTGTGAGAATGCTGCTCCAAAAAGAAATTGGCTGCAGGGGAGGCAGACAATCTGAAGGCCATGAATGCCTTAAATATAACAATGTTATTTGTTCCACGTTGTTCAAGTTATCGTATACAGTGTAATCTTGGCTTATCTTTATAACAAGTTTCAATTCTTTGTCACTATGCAAAATATGCTTTTTGGTAAACAACTTTCCCCTCACTTTACAGGACTCCTTGGCCCTATTAGTACTATATTCAGTACAGCTAATTAGGTCCTTGGAGAATCAAGAAGCAGCTACTGGTTACTTATCAGATCTCAGTTGTTAACCCACATTAGATAATATTCAACTCATCTTGCAATGTGAAAAACACCATTTGTGACAAAATGTATGGGTATGTCAGGCAAGATTTTATAGTATTTTTACATTATGGTATAGTTATTGTGGCTTGTTTTATTTTTGTTGTTGCCTTGAACACATTGTTTGGAGACAGTTTTGACAAAAGGACTTAAGACACTTGTAACAATATGTCCAAACTTAGTAGATTGACATTGCCATAACCCATCCTAACTGTATTTGATGGTATTCAAAAGACATCTATTCTTGCGTAGCCAAGTCAATAAGAAAAATGTCATGTACACCTTTGTGGCATTGTGTGGTGCTGAAAAAACAAGTTCTGCATGACAGATAAGGATAGGCACTTTTGTCGATTTAGAGTGTCAGCCATTCTGGAGGGCCTTCATTGATCCAGTGTAATATTTGAATACATCTAAGATATTCCAGAAGGAGGTATGGTTAATGTCCTAGAACATTGTTTTGGAGAAAACCTTTTGTCAGCGATTTACATAAATTGTCATGGGTGGCATTTCTGCTAAGAAATGAGTTTTGTGTCCTCTTACAGCTAGAAAATTTATTAACAGTAATGTCTTTCAATCATGGTTAACCATGCTAACAAAATTCCACCCCCTTCAATCATTAAAATATGGTAATTTCTTCCATCAGAATACCAATTGGAAGGTTAGTGTGTACAGCCCAATCCCAACTTTGAGCTCATACTGAGGAGAACTATTCAGACAGTAAAACAGGTTTGTTACTGCATAATTAAGAGTAAACAAACAAAGCTAGACAAAGGGTCATATTGCCCTCAGGTGCATTACAATAAAAAAATACATTCCCTTATGTAGACAAATTGCATTTGCAGCATTTATACAATACATAATTCATGAAACCTCATCCATTAAAGATGGTTATTCTGCAAGTTGTCAGCTGATTATTCTCACAGTAACAATGTCCACATTAATTTCAAAGTGCTACTGGCATTAATTGATGGCTGAAATTCAATTTCAATAATCTGAAAATAGTGCTGAGAGCAGTCCTACCAAATTTCTATGTACAGCACTTGATAGTTCACTTTCAAGATTTTCAAGACAAGTCTCATTCAAACCTCCTTGGTCTCTGCTACATGAGTAATGCCTTGTGTTCAGCTGCATTACTTTGTGATATGAGATGAGCCAGGGTAACTGTTCCTTGCAATACAGGCAGCTATACAAGGTTTTATACAGCTGGTCCCCTTTTGTTGTATCATATTGTTGTGCAGTGGTCCAGACAATAATGTTTTCCTTCCAACAGCTTTTCTGATGGAGCCACAGTAATTGAAGGTCCAACAATGGGTGCATGTTGACTTTTAACCAAATTAAGATTTCAACTCTAAGTTCCAATTGTTTCAAGTCATACATAGTGACTCAGCCAGGTCATCTATGAGCATTCATTTAGTTCTGATTACCAGTCAGTCACCTGTGCTGGAAATGTGAAATTATCTTCTTCTTTTTTTCACTTTGGAAGGACTTTCCAAGGGCAATCAATTTGACTATGGTCACGGTTCAAACAAACTTTGTAATCTAACAATATATTTTGACTCTACACACAGCAAACTGTAATTGGATTGGAAAATTGAAAAAAATGGACTAACAAAGGTATTTACTGTACTAACCCAAAACAAGCCGCAACAATGCTACCAGAAGTTGCAGTAATTATGAGGGAGCATGGATATACAAATGCATCGACCTGAATAAAAGTATGTTTATAGACCCGTATGTTCCAGGGTTTCAACCTTTGATGTGTGTTCCCCCAGTAAGGTTCGTAAAATAAACAGAAGCAGTCCATACAACATCTGACTTGGAGAAAATGCCTGTGTAGCAAATGAATCTCATTTTCAAGTGGAGGGAAAACTAAAAATTTAAGTATAGAAATGCCCAAGGTACAGCGGAAGAGAACTTTACACTACCACGTCACTCACAACAAATGTTACTAATTTTGTGCACAGACAAAGTGAAGGTAAAATCCCGAACGAGTCATTTCCTCTCGGAAGGATATATGGTTTCCTTCAGAATGGACACCATGTGGTTAACCAACATTTGTGTTTTCAATCTTTTCGGTAAGGAACAGAGAAATTTGGCTTTTGATCAGTGATACGGTCACATTAAACTCATAGCGCATAAATTTTATGTCTGGATACCCCTTGGTCGAAGTCGCAGGTGTCCACATCTAGCCGACTTCTCGTTTATCACGACTTGCCAAGTAACACAAATTCTGTCGAATATTGAACACATAGTAGTCTAAAACAACAGTGCTGAGGAAGAACATTTGAACAGCCTTTAGATTCTTGTTGTTTGAAGTGTTTTCGCGAAGCAGAAAGCCCAGGCCACCGCCCTTTGTTTACCCCTACCATTTCCTGCAGACGGAAAATCTATCATGGCGGTCGTTGACCAACAGTGCGAAAACTCGGCCGAAATTTTGCGTCCATTTCTACCACGACGTGAACAACTCACCTTCGTTTCTTCTATTTTTTCATCTCCTATAGTATCTGTTTCCATGATATAGTCTTCCGGGGGCTCCAGGGTCGCGGATTTGCGAACAAAACGGAGGAAACGGCGGCGAACAAGAACTACAGGCGGTTTCTCCTCAGAAATGGCAGGGGAAGAACTTGTGACGTCAGAGATATCGCATAAACTCGCACTGCTCGAGACTAGACTTACTTACCAGAGAGAGGCCTTACATCGACAAATTTTGGCATTAAAATCCACGAAACCCATAATAATTACTCCCTAAATCCTGCTATGGGTTACATTTTCTACAATATCCACAAGTAAAGGTGCAGAAGAAGATTCAAGTTAGAAGTCACGTGATGCAAATGATTTGGTTCAACCATTTCTACACGAGGGTTTTTTTATCAGTCTGACAATTTATGGTGGCAATGATTGCAGATATACACATCAATAACTTAGTAATGAACCAAAAATATTGCTATTTAATACTTTCTCTTTATTATTCTTAATTGAATCTTTCTTAATGTAGATTTCTTACACAAGATGTAAAATTGAATGCAGAAAAGGGTAATGAACTCTTCCACTTTGAGGCCAGCATGGCGGACTACGGTCTTGGTTCTCTGGTGAGTTTCACGTGAACGTGTGTTTTTCCTGAAAATGTTTTATCTTTGCCGCTCTGATCCTACTCAGTTACTACTACTGTTGCCGTTTGGTTTGTGTCCTCCTGAAACAAGAGGCGTGATGAGCTTATTGCCTCGCCACGACGACGTGGGAAGCGCCCTGGACTGGTCTTTAGATTTTTGGCAAAATTACAAGTACCTCGCAGTAGCTTTTAAAACTTGATAAACATCTACCTAAGTAGGTTCTACCAGCATAAAATCCGTTTTAATGGCCAAAGACAGATTTTTGGGATGATGATGTTAATGAACAAACAGATTATCATCAGATATTATAATAAGTTGTTGGAATGTTAGGTTTTATTGCACATCAAAAACTCATCTTGGTGTTACCAGGCCAAGGAAGTTAAAATCTTAACCTCCTTGGTGCTACCATTTAAGAAGGAGTTTCCATCGGTGATACAGAGTGATTCTCCGACCTATATAATAACCTCCATGGTGATACAGAGTACAGACCACAACATGCAACACTTAAATTTACATCATTCACGTGCAAAATTTTCTCTTGTTTACTGACTTGTAGGGCCCTGCTGGATCACTTGCAGCTGCTGGAGCCTTGTCACAGCCAGCAGAGAAATACATCAACAATGTAAGGAAACTTACTGTCTGATACAATGTAGCCATCTAAATTGTGATGTAGCAATACAGTATACCACATTGGTGGTGTTAGAGGGTGCGTCAAAGAAGTACTAGTAGAAGAAGAAAGCGATTGCGTACTCTCCAAGGACTCTCCAAGTAGAGGTTGATTTGGAAGATTGTGACATTCTATGTGCCGTTTTTTTTGAGAGCCGATCCAATCAATTCAGTGGCCTATTGGATACTGTTTTGCCAGTTGGTTACAACTTTGCCATCCTAAGATGGTTGGTGGCTAGATGAGATGTAAATAGGAGCGGTCCAAACTGGACAGACATCCTACCTGACGAAAGCTACTCATCTTCCCACCATTCATGCACTAGAACCTGTCTTGTCCTGGATCTATGGATCTGTCAATTCCTAATTCTTTTATTTCCCATACAGCCTGATCTTGAGCTGGCCTGGGCATCAAAGGCCTTCCAACATGCTGAAGTCTATTTCAATGTAAGTGGATAGTTGTCTTTCTTTGTGTAACTACGAAGATTCTGGACTACAGTCAAACCTGTACAAGTGACCACCTCTACATAAGGACAACCTGACCAATGTGACTACTTTTTTAAGGTCCCCTATTTATTCTCATTGACACAAGCATCTAGAATCCTGTCTATACAATGACCTCATATCTACATACATCAGATTTTCTTAGTGCTAAGTTGTCCTTAAAAATATGTAACACAAATATATAACATACATGTAGATTAAAAGTAACAATGAGTTACAGATGCCATGATAGTAAAACTAAGAACCCTTTTCCTCCTTTTCACAGCTCATATCATCAGTGGACACCACATGTCTGAAACTTACTGGGAAGATGGATGAGGAAATCTATACAGAGTTCAGAAAAGACTTTCCTGACATGCAGGTAGCTTCTGTTACTGAGGATGAGCTAAAATCAGAAGCTGCAAAATCAGTAAGTTATCTTTACTCAGCTGTCACAAATTGTGTCAATTCTCTTGTGATGGTTTGCTTACTCTGAAGATAATCTACTCAATTTTTTTTTTTACTTTCTTGTGTGTATTTTCAGAAATGGCGGCCATTCTGCAACAAGTTTGAAGGGAAGGTGGCAGATTTTAACTTCGGAACACTGCTGAGACTTAGGTCTGACGAGGACTACTCTGAAGACAATTCCTGTATTGGTCAGTATTAGCATTTTCGAATGCACTCTCCTTATATGTGTAGTAATGTGTTTGTCTATAATGGAGAGGAACTAATGAATACACTAATTTTCCATTGGAAAACCATGAAAAACAATCACTTTGATAACACATTTACCTGCATGTCACGCCTGAGGTTATTACCCCCATCAACACTCGTAAGCACTTCTCTATTGGATCATGTGGAAAAATTTGCTGTTGCCTGAACTTGCCATCTAACCCTGTAAAATGCAACATGAATGGAAACTTTACAGTACCCTGACCCAGTAAGGCAGAATTGTTGTTTCTTTACAGTGCCAAGAATTCAGTTCTACGCCATGGAAATTGCCAGAAACAGGGAGGGCCACAACCTCGCAGTATGGAAGAAGACAAAAGAAGAGAAAGGAACCACTGAGGACACAGCACAGGAAGAGTCATGACAAGCCTTGTACTAAAAACTGTCAACTTCATGTAGATATTGCTTACTGTCTTCTTGTTTAGGATGAGTCGCAAGTGACCAGAAAATGGCATTGCTAGAATACTGGATTTTTCTAATTAAAAGACAATGTTAATTTTGTATCTTAAAAGGATTTTGTATGTTCAATTAGCACATTTAAAGACAATGTTCATGTTATATCTAAAGGATTTTGTATGACGTTCAATTAGCAAATTTAAAATTTCGAGTTATCTGAGCTTATCATTACTTTTGTGTATTAAGTCTTCATACCCTATGTTAACCCCAGTCACTGACGAAAAGTTGGAACGCCTAATTGAAACGCCTCGACATTTAACAAAATTTATCCAGTTGCTCAAGGGTATCTCATTACCTGGATGCCTAACCTTCATTGACAGACGTCGCTATGTTTACTTAAGTAATATTTCTACTCTCTTTGCATCAAACAGACAGGGTATGCTCTGCCTGAAAATATAACAGTCTAACAGCAACAAATACGAGGACAGCCGTCTCTGGAAATGTTTTATTTAATTAAGTGCAATGTAGAGAATACACAACAGTGCAAAGAAGGACACCCTCTCACACTGCCCCAGTGGCTCCACAATCAAACATGGGTGGTAGGTGGTCGGTCTATATACAGCAAACTAAAAACTTTCAAAGTAGGGCCTTGCAAAATATAACTTGCTTAACAGAATAGCACAAAAAGAAGTAGGTAAACAAGTCATTTATTCTGCATGGCCTAAGAAGAATACAAACTTTTATCACAAGAAATACAGGCAAAGCACAATGCATATTTATATTAACATCCACACTGCAAATACAAGCAGTCAGACCTTGTGGCAGCAGCTACAAGTGTTATGTACTTGGCTAAACATCTACATAGGATCAAAACGGCTTCATTTGCAGGCATAGCCATCAATTTACTTCTATTGACTTCTTGATTTCTACTTTAATAGTATGTTCACTATCACATCATACTACAGTGTGTCATACAGTGAAAGCCTATGAACAATGCCAAACTGGAAGTTCTGGCTAACAATGCCACCTGACCACCCATGTAAATCTGTCGCACTCAACTTGCCTGAGAAATTTCCCCGCCTAAGAAAATTTTGCTGGAAACGTCAGTCTTCATATTTTGCCTCTTCTCTTCATAGAGGACATTTACATTATTTGCACTTTATGAAATCTGAACACAAGCATTCTGGCACAGCCCTGTAGTGGAACACTGCATTCATCTCAAATGAGCCTAAGGTACTTTCGGACCCTAAAATTTGTGAATTAGTAATCCAAGATTCCCAACGAAAAAAAAGGAACAAAAGTCTCATTTGCTGGAAAAGCAATGCAACCGATAGTTAGCAATAACTGAAGAAAACTCACTTCCGTACATTAACTGTACTGCAGAACTTATTCAAACTTCACCGTTCTTTATCTGAACAGTTTCCCCAAGCCTTTTTCAATATAAGCAGCATTACATGTAGTTACACACCCTTCATAACGCACTACAGGTACTGAGAACAGATCATGCAGAAACTACACCGTCAAGACAAATCTATTAATTGTACAAACAAGTGTCAGCATGTAAGCTTCAACACCTTTAGGTGTACCTGAGCTTTCTGTAATAGTTCTGCCCAAGCAAGTAGTCTCCCTCTTCTGATCTCTATTTAGAAAGTCACCTTAGTTCTGGCAACATATCAACTTTGTCTTTGCAGTGTCTTCCTACAACATTTCTGTTATACATTTGTATTTGGCTCTGTACTTCAACATTTACATATTCTTTATCTATAGTAAAATAGTCTCTTTGGGGGACACCATTCTTAGAATGTGTGAACACGGCACAGAGAAAGAAGACGGCCTTACTTCACTGGTTGATGAGCAAGGATGACTGTAATCACTGGTTCTGTATGTACTGTTAGGTCATATTTTGACCAGTCGCTCAGCTCACTAAAGATTATTCACATTTTTATTGAACAACTTGCAACATTTAGCCCTGTTTTTGTAGAAGGTAAAGTTCTCCCGACGTCTAATTTGACGCATAGAAATTTTGTTGTAGGTCTTGTTCCTTTTGACATCTCTCCTGATCATCAACCAATTGGTGTAGACCTTGAACCAAAGGGATGAGAACAGCACAGATTCGCTGCAGTTATTAAACATCTTGAACATTGTACACTATAATAACTATATCAATGCACATATGGTACCCACTTTTCATACAACCCCACAACACGGTAAACCTGAAACCTCAACTTTGTGGTCTTACAAGGTTGGCTCTGTGAAAGTGAAGAAACAAACATTTCTTGAGTTTAAGGTCAGCAGTTTTCTCTAGTAACCATTTTTTTACACTTTTTTCTTCAACACCTGACCTAACTTGTACTGTGGGACTGATTAACTTTATCATTAAACCAGCAGTGATATGTCTCTCACTAGAAAGCAGAACACTGGTTACAATTGGCCAGTTTCTTGGACAGGCATACAATGATGTAAACAAATGAATGTCTATTGCTAAGAATTTGAATTGACATTTTTCATCTGGAATTTGCCAAAAAGAGTTAACTGTCAAATACAGGAAATGACATGTATTTTTTCTTTCTTTTTCAAAGTTTCCCTACTCTACTTTGTCTGCGGTACAAGGACAATTACAAGGTATAGCACCAGAGGCCAATTACCTAAAATTTCTGTTGCTTAACATCTTTAGGGCACACAATAGTATTGCCTTAGGTCATTCTACACCTTTGTATGCCCATCTGGAACTGATACCATTGAAAACCTAACATATTGTCACGTCAGCTGCCCCTTTTTTTCTTTTTTTTCTACATAGAACATCCATATACACATATATTTCTCCAGCGTACAACATCTTCCCAATTAAGGCACCCGAAGGTGACCCTTGGCCTTCAATTGGAGTACTCATGACCCAAGTACAGCTCTCCCTCATGCCAAGATTGACAGCACTGCTGCTTTGTTTGTTGTCTTCAGAAGTACTTGTACACCATTTCTTGTCCTGGTCTTCAGCAAACTTACCAACACCACACTACACAAAAACTGCATCAGAAAATGCATTTTTTTTACAGAAAACAAATGGAATTTGTTTTGTTTGTCAATACTGATCAAAGCATTTACCAAAGTTTCAAGACAGCGTTTCAAATGGCAGTGGCATCTTCACAATGTTAAACCAATGTTAAGTGTACACATTAGGAAGTTAGACACTAGCACAAGCTGATGCTTCACCACAGAAGACCAGGACAATTCTGTCATAAGTACATAATTTTTTCTACACTTTGGCCCCCTCATAAACAAGCTGTACAATCAAGTCAAGGGCAACAGTATGCCATGGGTCATGTGATGTGTAGCCAATCATGGGTCGGCCCTGCTCACTCCTTGATACGGCCACCATCACCCTCGCTGACAAAGCGCTTGCGGGCCCTGAAAAAAAAAATCAATGCGTGAGTGCTTACTTTTAGTCCACAGACTTCCTTTAATTTTGCAGTTTCATTAAAACATTGAATTCTGGACTGGTTTACTTTCTCTCTTTTTCAAGAAATAAGATAGGCATAAGATGGTAATTGATTGAGTCAACATGAAAACACAAGGAGAGCGCCTCAAACTATCTGTGACAAAGGAAATGTATGGAGAACGTGTGGCAGCTGACCTGATGGGCACCTTGGCCTTGGTGCGATTGGTGATGACTCCCTCCTTGTGGCACTCCTCAGAGAACCTCTCGAGGACGGTGTGGGCATTGGGCACATCAAGAACTATGTCTGGCATGGACTCAAACACACGGTCAAAGCCCTGTGGAGGAACAACATTCAATCCAAGAAACAAAACATTAACAACACTTTGTCGTCCACATTCTTCTAATCAATTCAATCCAAAGCAATCTCCACCCACGTTAATGGTTTAAATCCTTGAATAGTTAACATAGTGTCTTAGGAAGAGATTGATAAATTATTGGAAAGTTTTCTTTTAAAAAGTATTTAATCATGTTTTTACATTAACAATCATGTGGAACACTGTATGGGTACAGCATATCTTTATCTATACCAAGTCAGGTACTCCCATTTATCAGCTTCTTACAATCAAAAGTTTAGCCAGCTGGTATCTCAAATGGCAGCATAAATTCAAGAAGGTAAAGAAAACAAACTCACCCTGTCAATCTGGTCCACGGTAAGAATGATTGCATCAGCGAGAGACTTAAGCAGCATGAGGATTGCAGTGTCCACCTGTTCCGACCCTGCCTCCAGCACAGTCACCACAGCCTGGAGGGGGGGAGGTACAGTGTAGATACATGTAACATACATTTCTATGTACCAAGTAATATGAGCAATAACACTTAGTATATGTATAATTGGGAGAATCGGAGCCTGAGAATTGTACATTAGAGACATTTCATGTACTTATGTCCTGACACAATTTCTGTCTCTCTAAGCCAATATATTATATGTCTTCATGCAAAAAAAGAAACCATAAAATAACTCTAGACTATCAACATATGTACGGTAACTGTATGGTAGGCATGCAACTCATTGTGTCTTCGATCAGTACTGTATAGCTTACAATCTGCATGTAGATTGTACTACATTAATGTAATTAGCTAGTAGCCTTATACATGTACAACATTTTGCCTTACAATTGTGGTACAATAAACTTTAACTTTGTTGTTGCTTACCTCGTAGACGAGCTCGTGGTGGAAGTGAGGCACCTCCAGCTCCTGCAGGCAGCGTGTGGCCTCCTGGATGTCCCGGGAGGACAGGTACTCCCTCAGGAGCATGTTCATCTACAGGAAGAACCATCAGAGAAAAACTTTACTCACAGCTACAGTCTGAAGCGGAAAGGCATAGTCAAACCTGTATATTAAGTGACCACCTAAAGACCACCTGGCCAATGAAACCACTTTTTGGCGGTCCCTTAATTTTTACCCCTGATGCAAGCATTGTGTCTATATTGACCACCTGTCCACACAGACCAGATTTTGTTGGTCCTTTGGTGATTTTCTTGGGAAGGTTTGACCATATCTTGCTATGCACTGCCGAAGAAATGGCTTCAACACTACCTTTTCTCCACTTCTAGTGTAAGAAATTTTTGCTTGATGCTGAACAAGCTAGCCCAGTTTCTGCACTAACACCCTTGAATTTTAGACAGTACAAAAGCAGGTAGAGATAAGAGGTAATTGTACCCATTTGTGACTAATGTACTACAAAATTTGGCTTCTGGTGCTAGAGCTAGAGGACATCTCAGTAAAAATATCAGTTATGAAACAGTATGACAAAAATCCCTCAACGTACTTCCATTATGGCACTTGGCCACTATGTTACCAACATGACTGGGCAAATCTAAATAACCACCCATTAGCACACATCCTACCCAAAAGTTGCTTAAACAGACATGAGGAACAGTGTTTACTTGACTCTTTCTTTTCCTACACATGGGACTAGGAAAACCAACAGAACCGCAGCACACACAGGCTACGTACTGACCTTTTTGATGAGGTATTTGACGGGTCGCTGGCCGCCACCGACACCCCAGACATTGTCAAGGCGAACCATCCCATGTTTCATACTCAGCAGCACGTGGGCACGGTCCAGGGCGGCCCTGGGGTGGAAACAAGCTTCTGTTCACAAGAGAATCTGGTTTCTCAACTTTTCTAACAACATATCAGTGCTGAACTTACTTAATAAAGAAAAAAAGTAGGAGAATCATTTCTTGGTTGTGGCTAATCAAACAGATGCTACATAATGAATATTTGTTGCAACATAAAATTCATTTCTTTCAACATAAGAGTTAGCTTAGTCTGATCTACAGCCTTTGCTACTTTGCAAGACACCCTTTAGTCCATTAATGAGGCAAGCAACAAATCTTTATCCGTCAGATAATGCTACAGAATGACCTTTGTAACCCTTATGTTTTTCTTGGCAAGCAAAACCTTTTAAAGGAAAGGCACAACAGCAGCCTAATGCCAGGTACTGCCTTCTTTCATTATTTTTTTTCAAATTTGTAACATGTTGGTAAAGGGCGACACTCACTGAACATCTGGAGGGAGGGTCGCACTGGAATTACTGGAACAGAAGAAAACACAAAACATTCAAGGACAACAGTTCACAGGCTTGTTGCCACAAAGCATGTGGCATGTTTTTTTTTAACAAAAAATTAAGAACAATGCACTGAACAGAGTAGACCATTCCAGATGGTTGATATTTGATCATCAACTGGGAGGAATGGAATTGTATGTTCACTTCAAATCATTATATTTCTTCCACAATTCATGGACTCCTTTGAAATGGGATAAATTGGATTGTAATTTTTTTTTATGGGGATAGAAGGCAAAAACAAGGCATTCAGCCCGATGTTGCCCCTTGGGTTTCCACTCAACACTCACATCATCTCTTCTGTAAGACTTGACCCTTCACTGGAAGACAAAAACGGCACGGACTGAAACATGACATGCGACGACCACAGGGAGGCAGGGAGGGGTTGCACACAGAAGGAAACCAAAATCACTCCACACTTCTACTTCAATCTGAACGATGGTAACACGGAGTTGAAGACAGACTGGTTGATGGGGGTCTCTTAGGAAGCAGATTTATGCAGTACTTACAAAATGTAGTATAAGAATTTGAAATCTGATCAAAAAATATCCATAAACATTAGTACTTGGGTGAGCTTTAAACTTCATGGCACCAGTATTTTGGTAGGGCTTATTTGTGTTAGAAGGGAAAACCCTGATCAATTATGATAGAAGGTACATTTTTGCACTTGGTACAAATTCCTAGACATACTTCATCTTTAACAACTCCCGCTGTGCCAGTTCAACACCTGGCCTAACTTTTCTTTCAATTTCCTTCAGAAAGTGTCCCTCACAAACACATTTAGGGTTAGCACACACAATGATGACAATGAAGGGTCAGGACAGAACACCAGCAAACCACTGCGTGTTAGTTACATCTGACATCAGTCACTCCTTGTCCAATTAAGTCACAAGGACACATACATGTTGAGGAACAACTGAACTCTCATACAACCCAAAATTGGACTAACCGAAATTTTCTTTTTCAGCTTTCTGACCCAATCACCCAGGATATGTGACTTTATGCACATGTCACATTACTGGTCGAGAGAAGGTTGGTGCACCATGGTGTACATGTTAATGCATCAAGTCAGATGTTCTGAGCGATTGGGTCAGATGGCTGAAGACAACTGAGTAATCCAGTCAGAAATTCTGGTGAGTCCAATTTTTTGGAGAAGAGTTTAATTGTTCCACAATGCAATTTCCCAACTCAGATTATCTTTCATGATAAACATACCTGGTTTGCTTGGAGTCACCACTCCCCCTGTACTCAGTAACATACTTGGGAGGAAGAACATCATCTGCAACAGCCCTGGCAATGAAGGAGCCCACCACCTGTGTGTGCAGGTTATAAACTTTCAATGGTTTGATGCACCACCTAGCAGTGTTTAAGGAAACTGCAATGGATGTGTATGATTTGTCTGTAACTGTATCTGTACCTGTATTGGTCAACTGACATAAGCATACCTTCAGATAACACACCAGCTTTGCAGGCTCTAACCGATGGGTTCCAATCTGACCATTATATATACATACTTGTAGATGTTTAAACTCTAATACTGGATAAAATACAGAGATAACTTCCCAACATATAAAGTGACATCCATCATTCTTCTTCAGCGTCACTAGAATGAACTGGCAGAACCAAAACTGGCAGAACCAAAACTTACGTATGAGGAACTGGAAAACTGGTTCAACACTATCTCACTGATAAGATTCAAGTTAAGATATAGTTCCTATGGCAATGCAACACCACTGGAACTACTGTCTGTTTGTAGCAAGGCAGGGTCCCACAATGTTGGTCTCATACACAATTTTATTCATGTTGTATTTCTAAGTTTTATATCGACATAACTCACATGTGGAGCATCAGGAGTATCCAGGGTCAGGTCCGCCAAGTCATCCAGGATGGAGTCAAAGGCAGTGGCCATCTCCTTCTGGGTCAGGATCTTCCCGTACAGGTCCGAGATCAGCCGCGACGTCATCTCACGGTGAGAGTCGTGCTTGTCCAGGGCCATGCTCACAGCGTGGGTCGCAATCTGAGGGTGATGGGGATTCAATTTTCATTGATGAGTGAAAGACCTTTATTGTACGTTTATACTCTTACAAGTCATGGTGATAAAGCAGTTCTGGTCACTACTGTGTTAAAAGGGTGTTATCTCACTACATTTACAGTATACGCCAGAATGTACAGGTTCAACTTCTTCTCACTTCTCAACTGTAAATATTATAATTAAAGAACAGAATCGGATCTTATAATGCCTAGACCACATTCTATACCATTGGCTGATGTCCAGGTCTGGAATCATTCTGAAATATTGTATGTACATCTCAGCTCATGTGTAAAACAGCAATAATTGTACACCTGCTCCCTTTATGTAAGAGCAGACTCTGCCCCATCAAGAATGTGCCCCAGAGAGGCCGCCCACTCATGCAAACGTTTTATCTCTGCAGGTGCTTGAACTAGCAGGACTTCCTCGGCACCAGGAAATTAGATTGACTGTTAAAGAGGATAGAGAACCCACTTAATAGTCTCATGTACATCCCTTATGTCTGGGATGGCTGAAATGCTCTCACCAGCAATTACACAAGCAACCACCCTTTTCCTCCACTTCTTAATGCGGGGTCAGTACCCGTCTTGTTTGTGGCACAATGCCAGCCTTGCAAAAGAATTTTGTGAAGCTATTGCAAACCTAAAAGGATTTGTCCCTGTCTGCAAGTGGTAACGTTTTCTTTCACCTGCCACCGAAACCTTGCATTACACGCTGAAAGGGTGCCATGAATTCAATAAAGACCAGTGTACGAATGTTGTAAAACAGGGTGTTCCAAGAAAAATAGGGATGTTCCTGGAAAAGTAGGTCTAGATCAGGGCAAGGGGCAACCTCATGAACAGTTACATCACCATCTGCCCAATTACTTCCAGAACTTTCGGGAGTCATTCACCTGAAACAGCCATGAGCTAATGTACGTTCACATGGCAGTAGACAAAACTTTTTTATTCACTTGGTACACAAGTCGTTTTTATTCCTGAAGAATATTTTATCTGCCTGTGAGACATCCATTAAGTGTACTGAAACCTACTTGTTCATACCCTAATCTCCTTTTAAGTAAAAAACTTGGGACATGTCAGACTTCTGTACTAGGAGAAAAGATAAATACCTCATGTTTCTTGTGCCCAAGGTTCAGCTCACCAAGTGTCACCTTCAGGGGAAAACAGGATATGAGGATTACACAAAGTAAAATGGAAAGCTTTTTCTGCCTCAACGAAATTAGCAATTCTGTACAAGGAGCTGTAACTATGGATCCCAAGACGTAACAGACTTGACAACCCTGGCACTTATCCATAAGTTGCACCTTAAGGTTTAGGTAGCCAGGCACCCAATTATACAGCACAATTGCATGGCATTGAGTGATTTGAATAAAAAAAATTTCATCCATCATCCAACATTATGGCTAAATAGCCCTTACAACATAGTTACATTCATCATAGAGTGTCAAATATGAAGTTGTGGGATTTACAAGCGGGCTATCACTGAACCAAAGGCCAACAATTATCTGAGACAGCCTTTTTGGTAACAAGACAACTGAATTTTGTATAATATATGCACTATTCCAATCACAGTCTGCAACTACACAACAATCCTATGATGAATGTGACTGAGCCCTTAGCATGACAGATGGCAAGAGCAGAATCCTAATGTACTTACTGCAACTTCATTTGTGTCTCCATGTTCAAAGTACTCCTGAATCACAGGCTTGATGGTCTTCTCCACTTCCTCTGGCGTCAACTCTGGAGCAATGGTCTCCAGTTCATAGTTACCCTGGTGGCAAAACGGTCATTTTCAGCATCTATAAGTGCATTACTCCATTACCTGGTTATCGCTGCAGGGGACACTGACATGGACACGAATCCTCGGACTATGAGCTACTGCCGATGATGATGGTTATCACTATAATAGCTCCTCTGCCTATTCTCCCAGCTATCCCCACAACCAAGTCAAATTTGGTGCAAACTGCTTAAAGACTGAGGGTAAATGGTAGAGGCTGTAGAAGAGTGATGGCAGCATAGCATGGATGTCCACACTCCTCTCTAATATATTATAACATGTTTAGTCTGATAATCTAAGACTGAACCCTACTACAAATGCACACAAACTATATTTAACAATTTCATTTCATCAGTTTCAGTCATTTATGGGGCACAGTGCAGTATTATGCTGATCTAAAGGATGCCTAACTACATAAATACCTGAGCATCCGAATCGTAGTTGGGATCCTTCTCATCAATGACACCATCAATGTCCAGTTCACAGCCAGGCTTCCCCCAAACACCCTTGCCACCAGCTCCACCTGTATGGTACACAATGAAGATAAATCAGTTTATTACAAAGAAGTGTGCATGATGCTATATTACCTACATAGCAGTTATAACAAGGGACAGTAAAAAAAGTAGTCAACAGGCAACAATGCATCATATATAAGTATAAATATGCACCTATGCATTTGTTCAAACTCAGATAGTTTGTGGCATATCTTAAACACCACACTTTCTGTGGTTATTAAGTACATGTACCTACCATAGTAAACACCGAGCAGATTATTATTGGAATGAGCAGAGCACTTTGGACTAATGCCTCTGACTACTTACAGCTTAGAGGTATATATCCAATCTTTTGTCACAAACCTCTCTGTTACATAGCGGATTATAATGACCCCCAGTGGGGGTCTTCACGCTTCGTTAAAAAATGAAAAATCTCAAGATTCATTCTAAAGATCTCAATATTTTAGACGAAATCTTGAGATCTTATAAGACAATCTTGAGATTGTTCATGACAATCTCCAGATCTTTCAGAAAATCTTGAGATGAAAACAAAAGGTCTCAAGATCTTTCCAAATGTTTTCAAAGTATCTTGAGATTTTTTCCAAAGCATCTCGAGATGCTTTAAAAAATATCAAGATTGTTTAAAAGATCTCACGTTTTCTCAAGATTGCTTTTAAAATCTTGATATTTCTTAAATCTTCTCGAGATGCTATGGAAAAATCTCAAGATATTTTGAAAACATTTGGAAAGATCTTGAGACCTTTTCTTTTCATCTTAAGATT